CTAACCAAACACGAACAAATCTTTGTTCACTCGTGTTCGGCTTGTTTTAGCTCGAAATTAAAAAATAATATAATTATTTATATAAAAATATATTACATATATTATTTATATAATAATATATTATATGTATTTATATTTAAGTTTAAATCATAACATCTCTTATGGTAATGTGGTTAGTGTATTCTTTTGTATATATTTGGTTCATGTTCGAATCCCAAACTCTTTACTATCTTATTTTTTCAATTTAATTTTTTCGAGCGGAACACGAGCTAAACACGAACACGAATATTTAAATCAAACCGAACACGAACACAATATTCATGAGCCAATTTCGAACACGAGCTATTTCGAACGAGCCGAATACGAGTCAAGCCTGAGCTCGCTCAAGCTCGGCTAGTTTACAACCCTAATTGCCGGAGTGGATCTTGCGGTTGTGGCTGCGGCTGCATTTATTAAAGAAACTCATCCGGTGTTTTAGAATATGCAGGTAAAACATAATAAACAAAAGCTTGAAATATATTTTCAAAACGCATGTCTATACGAACAATAAGACATTTAATGAAAGAAGAGTAACAATGCAACTCTTTATAAAGAAAAACATAAAAACAGTCCAAAATATAATAAAATTATTAATTCATCCTTAATAAAACAGCTAATAAACACAAATTAAGGATTTATCTGCATTTAAATTAATCTCATGTCTTTAATATAAAATCGAAAATTATTTCAGCAGAGGTTATATTATGTTCCCATCATTTCTCCCTTCCCACGCCTATATGCTTATATCATCATATCATACCAAATGAATGCTACTATTGATCCATGCAAGCAAGTTTCTTTTCCTGCTAACAGCTTGCATAAGGCAAAATTTACATAGATATCACTCAATTCCTATGTATTTACATATATAACACCTAAAATTTCATTTCTTACATTTATATCATCATACCTATGCATAAAAAGGTGTGCGTCACTATTTAGATGTTAAAATAGTGGAGGCATTGTTTTACATAAATGAAAGACTTTGGTGGTATAAATGCAAAAAATAAAGTTCAGCTCTTACATATGTAAACACATAAGAACTGTAATTAGTTGAAATAAATTGATAAATATTTTTAAATTCTGCAAGTTGCTACAATCTCAGCCATTGATCGCCATCGATGAAGTAGTCATCCAAGAACGGCTTTGCTTCTTCATAGGTGAGTGATTTAGCCCATGGCACTCTGTTACTCGTATCTGCTCCTCTTCCACTGCAGTTGAACTGTCCGAACCATGCCGTTCTGCAAAAACAAACCTAATTCAGAACTAATTTTCTTATAACTAAATTTACAAATATGTCATTTTCATATGTATATGTAAAACCAAATTACTTTTATCTCATAATTTTAACTACATTTAATCCATTATCTGACATCAAAAATTTACTTTTTTTAATTTTTATATCACATAATAAATATCACAATTTAAACTTTTATCATGTGATGTGTATATAAAATTGACTTTATGTGTTTTGATATCTAAGAAGATAGTAATTAAGACATATGTATGTAAACCTTCCTTCTTAAAAAGAAAAAAATAAACTGGGTGGTTAATTTGTAAATATCAAAATTTAGATGGTCTGTATATAATTATCCCTAAATTATATAATACTTCCTATAATTTTTAAAATGAGAAATTTACATAGATATCATACATCATAGATATTTGCAGATCTAACACTCAAAGTTTGATATTTACACTTATAACATCTTAATCACGAGAGAATCAAGATTATGATCATGTTGGGCAATCGCCCCCTTCTCAATATATGTTTTTGCTCAATAATTAAAAGAAAATTAGATATTTGATGATTTTATTTCATCCCTAATCATGTGTCATAAGCCATGAAAACTTGTATTTTACTTTAAAAAAAGCAACTAAGGTAATATTTTTGATATAATGCTAGGTATTCATGTAAATATGATTTTTTTTAGGTGTTAGATAAGCACTAAAGTAAGAATTGTGTGCTATCCATGTAAATGCCCCTTTTAAAAAATAAATTTTTTAAATTAAAAAGCTCTAAATTCTTCAAAAAAAAACAAAAAAAAAAAGAAAAAAAAAAGGATTTTTACCTTTGCCTTGATGAGTCTCCCCAATCACTCCAACCCTGAGGCAAAATAATTCCATCAAGCTGACAGTAAGAATACACAACTCTTGCATATTTACCCCAAGCTCTCCCCAAATAAATCATTCCAGTTCCATACAGCTTGCAATAACTAAGAGAAAATCCCGAATTCTCAGCAGCTGAAATCCTCTGCGAAGCTGTGATCGCTCCATAGCTCGCCGCAACAGCATGCAGAGTGCAGTACTGTACTAACTCCCACAGCTTTGTTAAAAATCAAATTTTTTTCAGTAAAAAACAAAGCTATATCAATACTACACTACCATTATACCTTATAAAGCGATCTTGCGTTTCCAAATATAAAATCAATAGATCCTTGTATATAGCATTCATGGAAATAATGCCTTCCAGTTTGATCAAATAATGTGTCTTGAGAGCTAAGTACTCTGCATCTATATAACACAGCTTTGTCTCCTGCAAGCCTCAGCGCAACTGCCTGCATTCCAGAAGCTCCTGCTTGTGCTGCAGGTGCGGTATTCTGCAGTACCAGACAATTTATATACATATCATTTATAATTGTTTAAGAAAATTACGGTTTTTTTTTTTATATTTATGTACCTCAAATGTTATTCCATTGGCGCAGAAGTAATCAGCTTCGATTGCTACTGTTGCAGAAGCAGAGGTGCCCACGGCCCGGCCGTCCGAATCTCGGTCGGAAGCTCGAAGATTCCATGATATAACAGTTTCAGCACTGTCATTGCCAATGAAGGTTATATAAGGCTTTGTGACTGGAACGTACACCCGCTCTCTATTAAAAGAAATTTATAAATTTTAAGTTAGCTGCAATTCAACAGTGTAAGAAATTAATTCGAACAGTATAAAACTGAAGAAAAACCAAAACAGAAAAGTTGTATCGGAAAACAGTTTCTTATTCCTAGTTAATGAGAGAATAAAGCAGACCTGTAGACGCCTGGAGCTATGTAAATCTTGATTCTCTCCTTATTGCCATCAGGAACCATATTTACTGCACCTTGAACAGTCTTAGAATCCCCAGAGCCGTCCTTCGATACCAAAAGAACGTCTTTTTTTCCTTCCTCAGCCTTAAAGTTTGAGCCTTCATAATGCTCATCGATTCTCAAATCAGTCCATGAAATTAAGCTCTGTGGCATCTGTAAGCCATGGAAGAAAACGGTCGCAGTTCCCGAAAACACAGAGCAAATCAGCAGAAGTAGCCGGAAGACACGCAATGCCATGGCTTTCTCTCCTTAACTTGGCTTATCAGATTCTCTGTGGGCTTAAATGAAAAATAGAATGGGAAAGAGATGATGATATTAAATAGAGGAGCGTGGGCTCTCACTGTATCGCTGAGGGAATTCTACTTTTACCGAACTGTAGCGGTTAGAGAAGTTGGAAAGGGGAAGGTGAAGTTTATAAAGAGGGAAAGTTCAGTCATGAACTGCTCGCCCAATGAATCAAAAGATGTCGAAAAATTTTAGACCTTTTTTTCTCTGTTCTGTTTTAATCAGGTGGAGTGGCTAAACCACCTTTTACAAAATAAAAAATAAAAAAAATGAAAATTAAGAGACATTTAGGTGGTCAATTCGAGATTGACATGGTCAACGGTTACCTACAAATAAAACCTCCACTTAAGTGGCCATGATCCAATCGTGGTGGAAATTTAAACCGAATTCGTGCAATTAAGTTGAGTAACAGTAGAAAAATAATATCTTTTAAACGAGAACGGAGAAAGAGAAAAAATTTTCAGCTGAACCCAAATTTTTGGGCAACAAGACTAATTGGCTATCGGATCAATGCAGGCAATTCTAATTGAGGTGGGATGTTATACACCTTAGAAATAGAGAGAGACATAACATAACTTGTTACACATTGGTCAGGATCGAAACATCATTTCTTCCAAGTCACAACTCAATTATCAAAGAACTTTCCTTTGTAAAGTCATTATTTTATGAGTTAGTTTGATTTACTGAGATAATAATACAATATAAAATAAATACAATACAAAATTAATATATTATATTTACAAATACATTATTGTTATTTGATTCCCCACATTTTTTTAATGATATAAGTTAAATTGCAAAAAAAAATATTATTTTAAAATAAGTAAAATATTATTAAGCTATGGTGAGATCAGGCACAAAACTGCGTAAAGACAACGGACGTGATTCATTAGAAAAGAAAAAATCTCGAGCGAATCGTCCGTCTTCGAGACGCAGCTTACATGGACTGAAAAAAACATTTAATTTACATTAGTAAACTGTATGAATTGAAAATTCTATTAAATTAATAGAATTCTAAATTCAACCAAAACATATTATGATGCAAAGTTCAAATTAATTCCTATGTTACATTAAATTTTTTATTCTTCATACCTGAATAAAATGAAAGTAAATCCTACAGAAATTACATCCGCTTCAGATTCTCGCCACGATGCAAAAATTTAACAATAAATTTCTTTCATTCTGAGGAACGATCACCGCCTAAATTTTCTCATCAAAATAAGATCTATGCGAAATTAATATTAGCAGAACTTGACTAATTTAGTATTAAGACCAGTGACCGCCACCTGCAGTCCGCCTGAAAGACAAATAAAAGCTAAAAAAAATGGATCAAGCGGAACAAAATTCCTGAAAAAAAGGGGAAAGAAATAAATTAAATCAGCAGAATTTACAGATTGAGAACCCAAGAAAAACCCAAAAAAAAAAAAAAAAAAAAAAAAAAAAAAAAAAAAAAAAAAAAAATTTCGAAAAAAAAC